GCGACCTATTTAAGTGTTTCCTACTTCGGTTTTGTGACAAATGGTAAACCTGCGCCTCTGCCGGATTCGTATTAACTCAGCAAATGTCGATTTGCCAGAGAGAAAAATGTGGTTATTTATAAACCTAATCCACTATATATGTAATTGAAAAACATGAAATTTTTAGTTGTACCGTTATTGCAGAGGATATATATAGATATGTTTTTTGATTAATTAAAAAAAATAAAAATAAAAATTCAAATCTGTTAATAAAAATTATTTGAATGAATTATATACATACATACATACATCTACGAATCTCAAATGGCCAGCTAAAGTTTTGCCAAACAACGATGTTCTTTTTCGTTACAAGCATATTTTATGAGCATGTAGAGTGCACTTTGCGTGTTTTGCTATGCTCACGCACACTCTCCCGTACACCCACACACCACATTTTTTTGCGTTCATTCTTTTTTCTACGTTCGTTTCGCTCACCGCTTCAAAAGCGCGGCACATTAGTAAGCATAGAGTGCATTTGTGGCAGCGGAACATAATTTTAAATAAAATTAAAATTATTAGCTGAAATAAAAGGCCAGCGTCCGTTTGTGGACTCACACACACACATATACATAGACGCGTATCTCCTGCGGCAAATGCGCATAATGAGCAGCGACCGCTACTGTCACTGTCGCTCGCTCCACGCTACCCCATCAGCGCCCTTTCCCAGCCTCGCCTTGCCAGCTAATACAACCGCAGTTGAAACTTTTTATATTTAGCTGCTTAAGGATGTATGTATGCACTGTAAATAAAAATAAAAAAATCCTTGAAAAATTCGTAGATTTTCGTTAGCAAAAAAAAACGGGTTAAGAGTTTGTGTGTGCGCCAGTGGCCGCTTAGCATATCGCCCAACTGTGGCGCCGCGCTCCGCGCCCAACCGGGTGTCATTACCAAAGATTTGTTGCGCTAAGTATATGCGTATAAATGTAAGTGGCTGTGTGTTGCAAGTACAAATTCTGTCGTGTCTGCTGCCCAGTTGCCTTTGACCATTGCGCCAACCCTGCGGCGGCCTATCTATACTCAGTCGTGCCCGCTTAAAAATAGCATTTAAAAATATCAGTTGCATCCCCCCTTTTCTAATCCCTTTTTCCTTTTGTCTCAGTTTTTTTCGACATTTCTTACATTCGGTTTTGCCTTACATTATCCTTTTTTATTCGCTTTCAAATGTATTTGAAACCGCCTTTTACATTCATTTGACATTTTTTCGGGCACATATCCTTGAGTTCGGACAATGTTGCACTTACGTTGGCTGGTAAGTGTGGCGGTAAGTAGTACATACAATATGTATGCGAACTCTGTTATTTGTGACGTTGGTATGTATGTATTTGTGTGGTCACATGCGTCCACATGTCCAATGAAGATGTATTCATTCATTCGCTCGAAAATGCTGCGGGCTTTTTAGATGGGTGGAGCCATCATTAAATATGCAAATTATTAAGGGTTGTTTCGTCAGAAATTGTCGTGAATTATTAGCTAAAAACACGATTACTTACTCTTATATCTCATCATACCAATGTACTTTCACTGAGTGTAGGAAAATATTAGTGAATAGTACCAATTAATACCCCGTTATTTGGATGGTTGTAGTAACTATTTATACAAATTAAAAAATCTCAACTTCGAGATTTATTCCCTCGCTTGGTGGTTTGTTACCATCTTGACTGTAGACTTTCATATATATGTGGTGTGGTACATGTCGTATGAGTAACATTTTTTCAAAAATAACAAACATAAATCTTGCACTTTATTATACTAAAATTTTTTTATCCGCAACGAAACTGCATACTCAAAATTTTTTTACGAAATCGAATTAGAAATTTGCAAATGTTTAGAAGTAAACAACGGATTTTTATTTGTTATCCTCTTTAGATCAGACATGGATCAGAAAATAGTTTTGGCGCCTAAATCAACCTGTGTGCGACGACCTTCACGGACCATGAAAAACAGCTTTTTATAAAAATACAACTATTGTGTTATATGTACGTAGGATATTTTTTGGGACGCGATTGCCATCTGTTCAAAGTTTTAAAATTATTTAAAATTATAAATTCAGCGCGATGTTATAATATGCATTAGATGTCAAAAGAACAAACGTAAAAACAAAGTTTGAAGAAGGTTGCCACGTTTCAAGAAATAAAATTTAATTTATTAAGTTATATTAAGTATTACAATTATGTAGGTAAAACAAGAGTTTTAAGAATGCTTATTTTAATATTTTTAAGGTGGTTTCCACCGGGTTAAAAGACAAATTTATTAATTCAAAAAGTTAAATACATATGTATGTATAATTTTCTGTTCTAAAGCCAAACTTTAATTTAATTAATTAACGAAAATATGATTACAATATTGTCATCAAACGAAACAGATTTAAAAAAGAGCTTTATTTTGAAAATATTTTGAAAGGGTTTGCCACATGGGCCATTCCATTTTACTTCAGAATATAATCAATTTTGAATTATAACTATGTCGTCGGAACTTATACAACAGTGAAGAATATTAAAAAAAAAAAATCCATACGGTTTCTAAATTCTTTGTAACTATAAATTTAATGAATGTTGCTGGTGGGACACTTAAAATCCCTCTATTTTACCTTTGTGCACTAAAATTCGAATTTTAAACATTTTAAATTTTTTATCCCGCCAAAAATCTGGCTCGACAAATCTCTCCTAAATCTCAAAAACTTTTATCTAAAAAAAATATGAAATCGGTTTTAAAAACGAAGGCTCTGGACTATTATGAAAAGTAACTCCAATTTGGCACCACAAACAAAAAGGCGCTCATTATTTAAAATATTTCATTTGAATATTTCAATAGTACAATAAAGGAAAAAGTATGGCGTACAATCCTTAGGTAAAAACTTTTTTTATTAGCCGAGTTCATCTAAACTGTTCTTGAATAGGTATTAGCGTTGCCAAATGTCGCGTATTCGCCGGGACAAGATTTTTTTTGTATTTTCGACAATTTCATTATTCTTTTCAACCTGTATACTCCTACTCAACATGGTCACAGTTTAACGCGGCTATTATGAGTAGGTCATTAGCAAGCATCGTTGCATGCAACTCCGTAAAAGAAATGTGGCTAAAAATTACCGTTGATTTTTTAGATTTTTTTTTTTTTTTGTGGAGGGTGTTGCGAGTTTTCTTCCATATAGTTAATGCATGAACAAAACTGACTTTTATATGGAAGAAAATGCGCAAAACCCTCCACAAAAAAATAATCTAAAAAATCAATTGTAATTTTTGGCGACTTAAAACTTGCACTTTATTGTACTGAAATTGAATGGGCGATAAAACCGCATACTCGAAATCTTTCTAGTAAATCTAATTAAAAATATCGAAAATTTTATTACATTTTTTTTTTGGTTTAATTAATTTTTGCGAACTTTGTGCGAGCTTTATTTATGTGGTATCTGATACAGATCGACTCATATTTTAAATGAAAATTATTATTAACAATAAATAAATATATATAAGGTGCCAACAGCATCATTTTGAATTTTGCTGCTATTATTTTGACCGCAACTGTATCTCTTACTTTGTTTTCTTTTTTTGGTTTTGTCAATTATTTGTTCACGTACATACATATTTTTGTATAAATTAAAAAGTGTTGTCATGAAATACACGAAATTTATCATAAGTTTATAACTAATCTAAGCATTACTTCGTTGAAATGGATCACCTTTGTTAATATGTGGTTCGTAGTTGGGCATTTAAAGCAAATCCTTTATTTCTCATTTGTCCCGTTAAATTTTTGTAAATCCCGTATTTTTGAGAGAAATTATGCGTTTGTCCCGTATGGTTGAAAAAAAGAAATCTGGCAACACCCGTAGGTATGTATAGTACATACTCGTATTTTACGTACCTCTAATATATACATATGTTTGTATACATACAGTATACACTCTGCTCATACGCGTATTGTCATTCCAAATTATACCACCTTTTAAGCGCTTATCAGTGCGCGAACACATCAGTAGTAGCAGTTATGTAAATAATTAAAAACAAAGCTCTGATACTGTGCTTATGAGTGCGGAATATGTGTTTTACGTTATGCATAATTTACCATCCGGAATCAACGTGTGAGGAACTCAAGTATGCGCCCAGCGACTTATAAGAACAAAACAGGAGATAGTCTATTTAACCGCTTAAGATACTCTTACTCGCATAAATGCTCGGTTTGGTTGACTTCCGCTTTTCATTATGGAAATTTTTTGCGCATAAATTGAGCTTATCAAAGCGGGATGCATGCATACCAGTACATAGATGCATTATGTATGTAACTAGAAGTCATTAAGTGGTACTGCTTGGCACTTATGTGTTTTTGTTTTTCTTACTCGCTTCCATTGTTGCTGCTGGTTCAGGTAAATTAACTCATTTAACAAGTCTCCTGTGGATTTTGTATTTAAATAACTACTGTAGGCGCATTGCTGCTGTTCAAAAACTTGCAGCAGAATGGGAAGTTGTCTTTTACGCCTTTGAATAGGCAGATTCTCTTACTGTTTTTTATTTATTTATTTTTTAGTTTTTTTTTTTAGTTTTCTCTTTATGAAAAAAAATCGACTCCTTTTAGGCAGCGCACACATGTGCAACATTTAAATTGCGGCAAGCGACAGCGTTTGTTGGCTTTTCTAAGTGAATTTATTTGCTAACATTTTAAACCGCATTAAGCCAACAAAAACTATATAAATTTAGCTGGCAACAACAACAGCTAGCTACATAGCTGCGGCACAAACACTTAACCAAAATTTTGGCTAATGAAATAAATATTCATATTTTAAACGCTTAAATGTTTAGCTTACTAAGTATGAGTGCGACATGCATTAAGCGTGGTCTGCCAATCTTTTTTTGCACTCTACTTATACATACATTTTTCTTGAATTTTTTTTCTATTTTTTCTTTTTTTTTTTTTCTCTGACTTTATCGCTCTTTTTCTAACTCATTCTTTCTCTTATTGTCTCATTGCAGCGCTTTTAATTTAGATGCTTTGGTCTTTAGCAACAATCCACACCTGGAACTGCGTCAGTTGCGCTGGCATCCGTTTTCACCTACCGACTCGCATCTGCTCGTTCTACTCTCGGACAATACCATACGGTAAGTGTTTTGTTGGCTGACAACTGGCAATGTATTTTCTAATCCAAGCGTCTAATTTATTGTTTAGTTGTTTGGCCACAATTAACTGCAGTTGTGACGTTTTAAATAAGCGTTTTTGTTGAGTAAAGTAATACAACTAGGAAGTAGGGTAAAATGTGCTTGAAATGGACTAGTTTCGAATGCAATGAAAGGAGTTAAATATGCCATGGTTTTGGGCTAATAAAATATGGAAAAGATATATATTGCTATTTGCTTTTCTAGAAAGACACGCGCTTGATAACTTTTTCTGACCAAAAAAGACAGATAAGAGTAATTTCTAGTTCGTTTCATACGGCAGAAATTTGTGAATATACTTTAATCTAAGCCTTGGCCTTTGCCCTTTTTCTTGGCTGTGTTAATGTTTTTGCTCTTGGCTTTGTCTTTTTTATCTTGTGTATTTTGTCTACCTTTGGCTTTGTTTTCATCTTCTTTTTAATTTTATCTACATCTTAATATTTATCTGTATTGTATTTTTATCTTTATATATACCATTTTTTCTATCTTTATCTCTATATTTATCTCTGTCTTTATCTTTACATTTACCTTCATCTCCATCTTCTTCTTTACCTTTATATTTATCTTCATCTCCGTCTTCATCTTGGCCTTTATCTTTATTTGTATATTCATCCTTCCTTTTATTTTCATATCCATCTTCTTCTTTATCTTCATCTTTAACTTTATCCTTATACCTTATCCTTATCTTCATTTTTGTTTGTATCTTTTTTTATCTTTATCTTTTAATTTTCATCTTTTTATATTGTCTCGGTCCTTTAATTTTTTCCGTTGTCTCTGATTTTTTCCGGAGATTAGGCCCGACGCCACAGAAGTCTAGTCCTGTCATTATTCATAGTGATTCTGTCATTAGGTCATTCATATTGATTCTGTGAAAAAATTAGGGTTGGGCAGTATCGCCGAAACCCAAGTTTCCAAGTACTCAGCACTCACAAAAGAACTCCGTACTCAAAAACACTCTGCTCCAATCATCACTCTGACACATGTATTCAAAGTACTCAATATTAAGTGTCGAATTTGTAGATACCTAGAAGAACTGAGTTCTCCTTACATTTACCGGTATTCACAAATGATTGGACTCAGTTTCAAGTGTCAATAATTTTCAAGTATGTACAATACTTGTACCCAATGCAGTGCGCCATTCATTTGACGTAATTTGGGATCAATATATTAATTTGTGAGATTTGTGCACTAAGCATTGAAATGTTACCAACATGTGTACATGTATTTAATGAGAGTACTCAGTACTCTCAAAAATACCCGATCTATAAAAGTGTCGGTACCAAAGAAGTCGATCCTCAAAAGAACTCGATAACTCCTATCACTAGAAAAATACGACCGATTACAGCCTTGTGCATGACTGAGCTGCCCCAGGCGACTGTGGAGCAATGAAATTCTCCACCGAAACAGCACTAACAACTGAGTCAGCTTTTTCGTGGCGCTTCGCGTCTACACGACCTGGCACCGACATAAGCGTACGCTTTTTTGTCTGTCATGCTGGATTAGCTATTCGATTACTTTTGTTCAAAAGGCAGTTATCAAGGAGGAATGCGTTCCGTCTCGAAAAAGATTCCAGTTTCAGAGCTAAAGTCTATTAGATGCACGTCCTTGTGTACATTGATGACGTCGGCTGTAAAAAGCCGTCCTTACCATAATAGTGCCAGTCTATCCAGTAAGGAAAGGCGCACCGAAATATTAGCTCCGGAGGTTCGGTGTCATGTCCTCCCTCTTTTTCCCCCGATGACAGGCTGGTAATGAAAATACCTTCCACCGTCCGATTTTTCCCAGTAGTGAAAGAATGAAGTACCACTATACGTTTACTACGTCGCACCGATATGTTGCGTCAAAGACCTCAGCTTCCACAACCTGGTGGAGAAGAACGAGGCAAAGTTGGAGAACGCTTAGAAACTCTTTCAATGTTAGAGCTACGCTTTGATCAGTTTACGAAGCTCCTTCGCTCCCCTCATGTTCGTTACAACACAGCGGCGCTTAAACTGTTTACGAGGGCCTGCGCAGTCTATGTAAATATAGTTAAATTTCGTTCTTTAAACTAAACAGCTTTCTTCAGCAAGTTGCGAATTGTAGGAAATGTATATTTAATTGAAAAAAATGCTTCCTAGCTGGCTCTTTCTGACTGCAAATTTTTTATTATTCTTTATTATTTTTAGCATGCGCTAATTTTTGTTATTTACTATACATATTTTTTTCAATTTTCAGGGTTTATGATAATTCCACTCTACGCCATGTTTGGCAAGTTGGTCCAGTTCCAATTAAATCCGATAACAGTCTTAATAGTTCGCTGTCTACGGCTTTGATGCTTGGTGAAGTAGCGGTCGATTTTGATATCGCGCCCGCTGTGGCGCAAAAAGAGGATGGAGCAATGAATTACAATTCCACGATAACCAATAATAGCACTAAGGAATCACTAAATAATAGTCGCAATTTATCGAAGACACTAAATGAAAGTGCTACAGGAAAGGTAAGTCTTTTTTGTAGAATTTCAAGGTTGACTCGTTCGGCTGATGACCCGTGCTCATATATAATTGTTCCATAAATATTATTATATTTATTTTATTTCACAGAAAAATTCACAGAACTCAGAACGCATTGAGTGGCCAATAGTTGTGCTGCGTGAAAGTGGTAACATTTATATACTAATGGCCGGACTAGATTGCCATAAGTAAGTTTGTTTGTAAATATTTGATTCTAAAATTATAAATTTTTCAGGTTATTGATATTTGTATGTATGTACCTTTTTCTTATGCAGACCACGCCTACAAGGTCCGCTAACAATTACACCACAGAGCAGCGATAATTATGGCTTAGATTCATGCGCTATTTTAGTCATTCCATCCTTGCCTCCCACACTGATTATTGCCGAATCGAATGGCAATCTGCATCATGCACTATTACTGGAAGCAGAAGAGGCAGAAGAGGTAAGTAGTAAGAGAAGATTGGAAACTACGGCGAATTATATGAAGAAGCGCAAAAAAATATAAACAGTAATTTTCATGGGGTGTTGTCCTCTCCCGGCTTCTGTTTAATTCAAGGCACTTGAGGTAGTTTTCCTGGTCTCATACGCTGGCGATTACTAAATATTGGTGTCAGGTATTGTGATTGATGACCTGTGTTCGGAAGTAAACCGCAACCCGTGCGATCTGGCTTCATTCTTCTTCTCTAGTAGTCTAACGTTCTCCTCCACGAAATTCTTCGGAACCATATTTGCCACCAGTACGTATGAGGTCAGGCTGAAAATTGAAATTTATGTCGATAGTGTAAAAGGCCCGACTCTGAACAAGCTAAAAATTCTAGGGGATACTTTCGACAGGCTGCTCTTTTTCTCTGCGCGCACAATCGCGATGACCCTTGAAGTACAGAGCCGCAACAGAGTCTTCGAAGTCGCTTGCCGGCCGCATTTGAGGCGAGGACAAATAAGAGTTGTTGGCAACCAGCGGGGTGCGATGAACGAAGGTACAAATATATCAAAACACAGCACTCTGAACATCTGTGAGTTGTCTTCTGATGCCGTCTGAACATCTTCTGCTCAGCTGCTACCGCAGCAAAGACTTAGAGCTTTATCTGCCTCGAGAGACCTGCGTTACTCTGGCACAACAGCATTTTTTCTTGAGCCTTCCGTTAGTTGAACTTAACGACGATTAATCCTTTTCACGACCGTTGGGTCTCATAACCGGAAAGGTTCTGATTTATATATGGCCAAGAACTGTTGCTAAAGAGCATTCCCCAAACCTCGTTAAGGAATTTCTATGCTGTTACAACAGCAACAACGATTGACTGGCGTAAAGATAGCAATACATGTACTCTTTTTATGATATGGTTTTGAATTTTTAAGCAGGGATGTATTTGGCAGCAATCTGTAGAAACGTATAACCAAAAAAATTTCACTCATTAATTTTTACGACTTGCTGTCATAAGTTATTATTTGCGTCGTTATTTTCTACCTTTTAGTCCTTCAACAAAGGCTATGTCAGTTTGATCATAGACAAAATATTTTCTTAACGCATAACCCAAAATTTTCTCATGCTCTTTAACATTACTTTTTTCTACTTTCATAGTCCTTCAACGAAGTCGATGTCAGCTTGATCATATATCCATCCGAGTATACAGTGCATGTGCTAGAGACGGTGATGTTGGAGTTGGGTTTGCCCAAGGACGATCCAAAATCGAAAACATACAATTGTCCAATATATTTGAAAGGGTACGATGATATAAATTTAAGGATTCTAAACAGGAAACATTTTTTGTAAAACTTATATTGATACTTTTTTATTTGGTGTAATTTCCTCATGTAATTTGGTGTAATTTCTTTTTTAATATAAAATCTTCTATTACACATATTTTCATTTAATTTTAATATTTTTTATTTAATTTTTTTTTTGATTTTTTATTCAATTTTATTTTTTACTATTTTTTAACTCATTTTAGTTTCAAGTTTTTTGTTTTTTTATTATTTTTTTTTTGAATTTACATATTTTTAATTTGAAATTATTTAATTTTTCGTTTTGCATTATTTTATCCAGTTTCATACCATTTTCTTTAATTTTAATTAATTTTATTTTATTTTGCTTTGTTTTATTTGTTTCTTTATTTTATTTTCAATTTTCCTACAATGTATATAAGGATATTTGAAAAATCATAACCTCCAAATATTTTCCAGTGACTACATCAATGAGATGCGCTACTTTGCCTACCACAATGCCGGACTGCATGCGATAACCGTTAATTTTATATCCGAATTGCAGCGGTTCGTAGAAAGTGATGGTAAGAAATTATACTCTATAACATAACATCACACTAACAGACATACTAACCCTTCATTACCCCCACCTTTCCACGCCATAGTTGACTCCGATATCAGCCCACTCTCGATCGCCTCGCATGCCGAGTATATCGTTTGCACTAAAATCGATCCCAGCGAGCGCATTAACGCCGTACTCGGCTTTGTGCTACTCCAAATGCCGTCCGGCGTAGTACTACTACTCGGCAGCGGTGAGGTTATCAGTCTGAAACTCATCATTGATCCCAAAATACTAGTGGAATCTGTGAAAATTAAAGAAGAAACCGATAGGTCATTACCCAAATTGAATGCCAAGTCAGAATTGGATCGTATGCTGGAGCCATCGTTTGTAGATCATGTTAAGAGCATGCTCAAACGTGATGTCACACAACCGATACTCTCGGTAGATAAGACTAGCACACCAACGCCACAGGACTGCTATGAGCTATTGACGCAAGCCATTGAGGTTTTGCGCACACAATACTTGAAGCGTCACGAACAAGTGCGCGCTGAGATTAATAAGCGCGTGAATACGATTAAGTTGCGCAAGGAGCAACAGGGGCGTGAAATTGCCGATTTGGAAAAGGAGCGTGAGAATATAAGGGAGACAGCGCACAGGCTTGCCGAGCGTTTTGAGGAGATAAGCGATCAGCAAGAGATCATAACGAAGAAGTGAGTAGGAAAGAAGCCAATTTTTATTTTAAAATAGTTCTTAATGGACATTTTCTCAACAGATGTCAACACCTTGTACGTCAGGCTCACACCCGCCTTCCCACTAATCCAATTGCTGATAGGGAATTCGCCCAAGAGGTGGAACGCATCAATAAGGAGACTAAAGCTTTGACTAATTGCATTCAAAAGGCGCGCGACACCATCAACAAGCAAACCTATCATGTAACTGTTCTTGATTTATGGTTTATTGGAATATTTGAAACTCATGACCTCACATTTTGTTCTCTACAGATTTCCAAATACAATCAGACTGCAAAGAAGAAGACATTTCATTTACCCGAGCGACAGGAGAAGAATATCAAGGAAATTTTAATGCAGGTGTAAGTGAATATTTTAATGAAATAGTTTCCTTCATTCGAAGTTAAATGTTCTATAATGCGCGTGACCTTTGAAATCAATTGCCAGAGTTAGGGCCTTAATGATATGAGTACACACTAAGGGGAACTCCAGTTAGCCCGTGAGTCTAGTAAGATTGTTCTACATTTGAAGTTAATTAATTAAACAGAAAGGCATTTACTAAAAGTGAAAAAGGTGCAAACATCTTAAAATCATGTTCTTGTTGTTGTAATGGGATACAAAATCCCCGAAGAATTTTTGTGCAATGTTGCTGCAGTGACAGTCCTTGGTCAGATATGAATCTGAGTCGTTCCGGTTGTGCCGAATTCCAACATTCGCTACCGCAAATTTTGATCGCTAAAAGTCTTCAAAGGAATAGCAGGCGCGTGAAACAACATGTTAGTTCTAGTTAAATGCTCCTCATACTGCCAGATTTGACTTGCAATCTACTTTGAGGCAAGCGATTTTTGTTGAGCAATGCTGAATAACCTTTCATGCTGAACGTATGGCAATGAGCCATGCAAAAATAACACCAGGTCAATTGTATAAACCAGATATCTATGAACATTAATTATCCCATTGTAGAACTTTTATGGTTTCTGAGCGAATAATTGAATCAAATGATTTTCACAGGCCTATTTTGGAGCCAGCTTAACACTATCGAGCCCCCTGAATGTTTTTTAATGGTAAAGGCTGAAACAAGTAATATAAGAGCGCAAGGTGCTAGTTTTATGGTGAATGTATCCAATCTTCCCAGGCAAGCGCTCTTAATTTGTACCAAGTCCTCCAACTTATCTGCGGACTGACGTTGCTATGATGGGACGCAATTATGTTTATATTGATCTAGTTCAGCTTTTGATAAATTAGTGTAATTTGGTTATTAGTAGACATCAGAATTGATCGATTGAAAAGGCTGTAGCTTTTTATAATTATCAATACCGTTCTAATCGCAAAAAACACATAACATTACCTTACCTTGGGTCAATCCTGATTTTACCACCTATGTATTCTTGCAGCTTCATTCCTCTTGCACCATGATCTTCTTCATTCGTAAAAATATTTCAATTACGTTTATTTTAAAAAGCAATGTACAGATGGAAATTAGGTTCATTAAATTGCTTACCGTTTATTCATGAAGGGGCCAAACATATATACATTTTTTTTGTATCCAGCCTTTTCCAAGTAGTTAAATGCTGTTTGTGAATTGGCGAGCGCTTACGTGCCTTATTTCATCAACTTTGTGGGCTCTTTCTAATAAAGCACATATTTTTTGTAGCTGCGAATTTCCTTTTTACTCTCCCTTCATATTTTTTATTTATTTATGTCTGATTTCAAATCACAATAAACCCGTCCCGATGCAATTGGTATTATCACAGATATCTGCATATACGGTGACCTATTCGGCTCATCCGTATGAACTCCGGCTGTACAATATTTTCATTTTTTAATCAGCTACACTAATAAATTTTCTAATAAAACAGCAGTTGATCCCGGAAGGCCCCGAATGCCTTATCGAGATAGCTCGATCATTTTCCCAAACTTATGTTTGTAATGCTCGTATGGTATTCTGAGTATTGTGGCAAAGATGTAAATTGTTAAACCTACGACGAGGAACAGCTTGTCGGAAGAATGCTCTCCCAAAATAATGTAAAAAAAAAATTATATAATTAGGTTTTAGAAGTCCATACGAGTTCAAGTGCCAAATCAGGACGCAGTTGTGATTAAAACTTATTATATAGCACCAATTATATAGCGCAAAATGACTAGGCGTAGTCCTGGACAAAAAGCTGAACTGGGCGCAAAATATACAAGAGCGTGTTAAAAAAGCGACGGTAGCCCTCTACAGCTGTAAGGGGGCGATTGGGCGTAGCTGGGGCCTGTCCCCTAGCATCATGTACTGGCTTTACACGGTAGTTGTTAGGCCGATTCTATTATATGGGGTCTTGGTATGGTGGCCAAGTCTCCACAGGAAATCTACAACTGAAGCACTCCAAAAGGTGCAAAGAACTGTGATGCTCTGCATCTGTGGGGCTCTGCGCACAACTCCATCGGACGCTATGTGCGTGCTGCTCGACATTTTGCCAATTGAAATTGTTGGAAAACAATCAGCGGGGTGTGCCGCCTTGAGGTTGAGGGAACTACCAGGCTAGAGGGACACTCAGAAAGGCCACACCGCAATCTTAAAGAACGTAAATATACCGGACACGGATTACTGTGCACCAAAGTTGAACTTCACCAAGAGGTATAGGATTTCCATTCCAGATAGAAAATTCTGGTCAGGAGGGGCTCCCGATGAAAATGGATCACTCCACCTCTACACCGCTGACTCTAAGCTAGACGGCAAGGTAGGAGGGGGGGTCTTCTCAGCGCTGCTGGGGCTGGAAATAGGTTTTCGCTTATCCAATCACTGCAGCGTCTTTCAAGATGAGGTCGCTGCTATACAGGAAGCGGTTGAACATCTACGTACAAGAGAAGTCATTTATAACGATATCTTCATTTACTCAGACAGTCGGGCCGCACTCAAAGCGCTCGACTCCGTCACATGCAGTTCAAAAACCGTAGCGGACTGTCGCAGATCTCTAAACGAGATGGCTGAGCAGTCTGCGCTTCACTTGGTATGGGTTCTGGGGCACCAGAACATACCAGGCAATGAAAAGGCGGACGGCCTGGAAGGGATTAGGCATTCCGCTCGCTACCTGCAAGCTCATTCTAAGGGATCTGTCACTTAAACTAGCAACGGACAGGTGGGATAGCCTCACCACTTGCAACAAGACGAAGCTTACATGGCCAAAATGGGACAAAAAGCGGTCGAAGGATCTCCTCATGCTGAGCAGGGGGGACCTAGCCGCAGCTGTGGGTCTGCTAACAGGCCATGTTGCTATTGGAAGGCACTCGGAGAGGTTAGGGATCCCCCATAACGATTTCTGCAGAAGCTGCAGAAATGAATAGCCAGAAAGCTTGCGGCACCTGTTATGCGATTGCCCCGCACTTTGTAGAAGAAGACAAAAGTTTATGGGTTCAGGATTCTTTGAGGACCTAACCGACATAGCCGAAGTAGGCATACGGCAACTTCTGGGTTTCGCGAAATCCACACGATGGTGTGTGTGATATGTGTCCTAGTGGGGTCACTGGCAGCCACTTCAACCTAACCTAACCTATATAGCACCAGGCATATAAAATTAGTGCTAAGGCCAAGTTAGCACAACATTTAAATTTTAATCTGCGCTCATGGGCCATGCTATACTGAAGAAGAGGGGGAGCGGAAGATACAATTCTGCACCTTTAATTTCGATGGCACGATTTATTTAAAAGAAGACGGAAGTTTTTTTTTATAGGCAATTCTTCGATAAATTGGAAGCTCAGAGATTCTCTTGCACTAGCAAACTGTAGTGGAATTCTGAAGGAATACTTTGGCCTCTAAATTAACATAATTTCAATTAAAAAGGAAAAATATTTCACATAACTATTTAATTATTTGCAACAGCTGACTAACGACGCAGCTTTCTGTTGGCTTTAGCGTTGCTATGTAGGCGACGGCATTTGAATTCATGAATTCCTAGTCAGCTATCGAAACGAAATTTTATGTGGACTGCGCTAGACAATCGCTACGCTGAATTTTCGTCTGCAATATTCTCTTAATGAAAAGCAATGGGGCCTAAAAGTATACAAAATGAAGAAATAACAGATGCAATGTAAAATCAGCTAAACGCGAAGTATAAGGGGCGTGTAACTAGATCTTGCATATTGTTAGGCGCGCCTACTATTTTGGAGATTTTTGGCGATGAAAATTGCTATCGGTTGTTGAAATCCTGTCGCTGGAAATACAATATGTATTATATACATATATCCAAGGCCCAAACTTCAATCATAATTAAAAAAAAAATACCTTTTCATTGCCTTTTTTTAGTGTTTGTGCGTAGAGATCAATAAAAAGAAGTAGCATTTTTTGGTAGAAATAAAAATTCCGAGTATACCTTACTGTTATCGCATAAAAGAACAAAGCGAATTTAAGGTTTTAGAACGGAGAAGCTGTACAAAAAATAACAATTAAGAAACAGACGGCTTAGGAGAAACTGTTGATTCTAAGCATGTTTGTTGAATACTATTAAAACAACCACACTCAACTCTTTTGAGAGTTTTTCTTTTACACATCTTATGCACAAATTAGGATTGATACCGAATTGTTGCGTAAATTGCAAAGGATGCTGTTCGGAAATGCATCATGCAAAGAAAAAAAATCGATAACGGAATGGAAGTAAAAATATTAATCATCGTGTGCACTCTGTAGCCTGTAATAAATTTGAAGCAAAGACATGCACCTTAGATTGGGATTGGATTTGAAGAAAATTAAAATTTTGCTAGTTTGTATCATCGTGTACAGATGTCATAACTTTTAGCCAAGACACGCGCTCTAATTGTAGTATTGGGGCAGCTACCCTGTACAGTAAAAATTTTGAATTGTTGTGAAGAAGGTTTCCAATTTTCTCATTACGCTGCAATAATTTTTTAATTTGATCTCAGTTCTCTTAAATTCCACAATTTTTTCGAAATTGCCTTTTTGATGAAAATTTGTTCTACAACGAACAACGCATCAGCATGTCAAATATTGGAGCTGAAATCCCTATAGGTCTGCTGAAAATTTACTAAATATTTTGTCGTAGTATGTTACAATACATTATTTATTATGCGCGAAATTATCGCATATGCCATAGAAAAGTATTTTGTACGCGGTAAATAAAACAAGTAATGTAAAAGAAAAATTTAAGACAAACTTTTATTGTTGGTTAATAACAGAACTAAAATCAACCCCTACCACCTGACGTATTTTTTTAGTTATTTCTTTTTTTATTTAAGTAATATACGTCTGTTTCCATTATGTCGGACGTGAAATTCGTACGATTTTAGAGTTAAATAAATCACACGAAAACGGAAGTCTGTTATAAAAAAAAATTGCAGTGGCGTAGCTTTTATACCGTTCTTTGGTTGGCAAAAACATTAGGTGATTGATGAAAAGATGGTCATAACGGAGTAAAAACAAAAACAGAAGTAGTTTCAAGGTACATGTAAAGATAAGAAAAAATCTGCTAATCCTGTGAAGTTTTCCTTTTTGATTGGTTAATTTTGAATAAAATGTGATAACCAACGTGACATGCCGGACGTGACAGATTTTCCCTCCATACAATGTTTTACTTATCTCTCGACTCCTGCGCCACCTATCGGTAACATTTTTTTGTGGAGTTACTTCTTTTCCAAATATGAACCATATCGGAATGTAGATATGGGTTTTTCAAATATCTCGACACCTGCGCTACTGCGGATTAATTTCATTTTTGTGTAAGCGCCAATCTATTATTATTATTGTTATCAAATTTAAAATTCACTCGTTCAGGCCTTCTTGCGCAAGCCTTTAATAATGGCGTTACTTACTACTTAAATTATCTTCTTTATCAAGAGTCTGGCATTGTTTCTTGGCTTGTAGGTAGACAAAGCTCTTCGCGAAGAAGCTAGATATAGCCATGTGTGTTCCGATATCAATTATTATCAAGTTTTGTAAGGTATCTTCATAAACTTCAGTTTGAGGTATTTTTGTTTTATTAAAATTCTTTTATTGTGTTTTACAGCGCTGCCGAGGTGGATTCACAAATTCGTGATGTAAAGCAGATCAATCAGCAACTTGGCATTTAAAATGCAAACTTAATAATTCCGTCGAATTTTAGTATCAACATACACAATTAAAAAAAAATGGCGGCAAGCCGTTAGTGGGTAAAAACCGCAAAACGTAAATATATGATATTGAATACATACATACATGTGTGCATAAATCATTTTCGTTAATGGAATTTTTTTATTTACGTAAATTTAGTTTTAAGTCGGATTTAATTGTCACGTCGATACTTACATACATATGCTCGTAAGATGCAAGATATGTCAATAAATTTAATGTTCCAAAAGAAAACGTCTAATAAGTACCTTAAAGCAAATAAGTATTCTATGCTGACAGTTTTGGGTATTTTATTACATATTAAACTTTGCTATAAAGCAAAAATCGGGGAGTAATTAGAGAGATCCTGCGTAGCATACTACAAATATTTACATTAAAGATCTCCAAATTCCCCTTTCCTATAAATAAGTAGACTTATCGGCAAGACCCAGGGGTTCGAGATTGTCATGAAATCGTGGCAACATAAAACAACAGCACTTAAAGTGCACTATCTTAAATGCACAGTACAATACACTGCATTTGTTATTCATCCTCTTGCTACGACGGCGCTGGAAGTAGTCGCCGAACTTCAGCCTCTTCATTTAACAATAGAGCAGCTCTCCAAGAGAACTCTACTAAGCTTTGCTGGAGAGCGCTTTTGGAATGGAAGGGTCATATCTAAACTGCGGATGTTTATGCAGAAAACGAAGCCTAAAAATATGTACCCCATAACTATAAACAAAATATATACAAATTTATTTATTCTGCTAATAGGTATGTAAATGGTACATATTTTTAGGCCACATGATCTTTGACGGTTCACCACTACATTTTATCATTGAGTGTTATGGCTTCTGCAGAAGACGTGAGGAAAGTCGAGGGCATATGTACATCAGTAGCTGTAGAGACGGAGTAGTAGATTGCTCCTTTATGAAGCGATCCATGTGGCGGTTACCCTAACCAAGGGGACCCCTACATCAAAAAGCTACGCTATGGAAACACAACAACAACGAAGCAACGATTTTGTTAAGTCGCAGTTTAGAAAAGCCGCATTAATTCACATATCAATGGCTCAAAAGCGATAATTGGCATATGATGCCTGTACGAAACGTGGCAACACAATGCGTGGATGTCACTCACCGCCCTTCGATGTAGAAGAGGTTCAGCTACAGGTAAAATTAGGATGGTTTTAGCTCAGTCTCAATCGTTATCACCTGCTACTACATTCTTGTACAGATTCCCACTCAACATTAGACATCTCTTTGATGCTGGCTCACTCTCTCCTAGTCTAAGATTAGTACTCATCGCTTGTCAGGCCTTCAGTAAGCACTCCATTCAGCTACACGTTTTATATTACGGCCTGGGTACCGAAATCTACAAGGCCTGAAAAGCTTGTTTTGAAGTTCTACGAGCAGAGTCGCCGAGAAAAAACTCAGGGCCCGCACTGAAAGATCACGGGCCCCTTACATAAATTTTATTAATTCAAAAGCATGTGATAATTTTCTTTAATGTATAGAGTCAGAAACTATCAGCACGAATCGGAATATATTTCTAATAAAAGCCTATAATGAATGAGCAATTATCACCCCTATTGCGAGTGTCGACTATTAGCAGATAAACCAGAGAACGTATATGTAGAAAGATGAGCAACTAAAAAGAATTCACACTCACTTATCGAACGAGAAAACGACATCGAAAATACCATGGATAATCGAATAATAGTCGTTTAACTAAAACTAGACGACAGGAGTGTTTATTGTAAAAATATAATAAAAAGTTATGGCTCTGATATTTCAGGCCCTTTAAAAAGCTCGGCCAGGGGGATTCACCCCTTTTCCCCATCCCTTTCGACGGGCCTGTCTACGAATGCATGTTGCTAGCAACATTATCGTTCCACCTACAAAAATGCCAACCCATGATCCACTACGAGATATAGAAAACAATTCAGATATTTTAATTTTCTCCTTTTTTTCCTTCGTTTTCGCGCTTTTCTGCGTGATTCATTAAATTTTCTTATAAGATCTACAATAAAATGCTTAAAATCGCTACGTTCTTGTGAACGCCAAGTTATGGTTATTAATAAAATTAAAATATTAATATAGAAAAATAGTCTTAGTAAAAGGTTTTCTTCATTTGTGTCGTCATTAAGTATGCCCAAATGCTCCGAGACATTTTGCATGCAAAGTGTATAGAGAATATATTGTGCACGTGCCATATCGATCTCATTGCCGCGCAACAATAATTCCAACACAGCTGTGTACGCATGTTCAGCAAGTCAATGATCGATGAGTGGACCCCAGAACATTTTCGAAATTTTCGTATCATCTTCGGTGAGGAAAAATTGACGTCCCAAATGTAGAAACTCCTTCAAGGACAATTGGCCATCGCCATTCTTGTCTATCACAGCAAAGGATATAGCTGCATCTTCGTCCGAGAGACCCATACAGCGGAAGAACAGTTTGTACTGTTCGAGATCCAAGTGGCCAGTGTGATCGTAGTCAACAGCCTACAAAAGGATTGAATAAAAATATATAGAAAATAGTTTTAGAAATTTGTCTCAAGTCTACCGAGATAATTAATTACCTTAAATAAATACGGTAAAAAGCGTCCGATGCGTTTTACCATCTGCTCGTCGTTGAGTCGATGATGCAATTCAACTAGAAACTGCTCGGCAGTAATTAAGTTGTAAGGATCTATTGCACCAAATTGCTCCTCCCATGTTTGACGCATCACCTGCTCGAATTCAGCTGACGTCTCCGGCGTAAGATGACCCAAGTCGGTGAAACGTTTGGCAATCAATTTGAAATCGTCGAACGATATTACGCCATCACGATTGACGTCGAGTATGCGATGAAGCGTACGCATTTTGCGACGCCAGAACTCGGAATCGCCCTGCAAAAGAGAGAGGACAGAGAGGTTAAATCGGGAGAATAAAGAGGGGCTTATAACTAAGCTTGATATCTAATGAATTTTAATTTATTTAGTTTTTTTCATCGAGAAACTAAAGTCGGGCGGTGAATATAAATATGCATGCCTCGTTTATGGACGGGTATGAAAAAACAAATAAAAAAACGTTCTACTTCTAGAGCTTTAGAGCTTATTAAAAATGCCTGCATGTGTTTATAATATTTATTTAAATATGATGTGGACACCAAGCTAATTTCCTTAAATTTAGTGGTTTGCAGATGAATATGACGGTGGTTAAAGAAGAATATGATAAATAACAAAAATAAAACAACAGAAGCTGTTTTCTTTGCTTTTGACTATAAAAAAATTAGTTGCTTTTTTATGAATTTGGAAGGGAAGGAAGTAAATTACTAAACTCAAACTACTCGTTTTGGGTAGATATTTTTTGCTTGGTTTCTAATTTAATTTAAATGAATTTCAGAAAAATATTGATTAAAATAAAGTTTAGCCAGGACAAATCAAAAAATCTTGAAATTTCATTTCGAAAATAATTTCGAAAGCACACTTATTTTTTCGTACATAATTTCGAATTCAAAAAATTTAGTAAAATAATGAATTTAATAATAGATATTGGGCACATAGTCAAACATTTTAAATTTTATTTCGAATATCAAAACATTGAATTCAATTATACGGCCTTATTTTAAAGCAATTTTTACTATATGAGCTACAATTTGAACAATTTTTTTAAATTTAAATTACTTATATATTTTGTTTTAAAAATTTAAAAACAAAGTTACTAAAATGCAATCAAAATAATGTTGGAACTCAATTTCGAATTTCTAAAGTTTTAAAAATCATCAATTACATTTTGTTTTCATTATTCATTCTTTTTACAAAGTAAAAACGTGTCTGAATATGCGCATTGAAAATTTGTTCTCACCTACTTCAAAGCCAAAAAAAACTAATAAAAAAAAAATTTATTGAAATATTTTTTAATTTTATTTCGAAATTTTTGTTTTCGAATAAAATTTAATACAATCATTTTAATTAATCATTGGAATGTCAAAATCTCAATTTTGCATAAGTAAAGAAACTTGTAAATTTCGAAGTTTTAAAATTTAGACAAGAATTTGTTAGAATAGATTTCAGCAGGCACATAATGCAATTTTCTTTTTAATTTTATTTTAAACATTTAGGGCACTTTTTCAAGTAGGCTTTAAAAACAAATTTTGTTTTGGGAAAATATGTTTGAAGGGTAGATAAAGTTTAAAAGATACTTTAGAAAACGACACCTTTTATTATAAAGTGACGAAACTTCGAAATTTGTATATTAAAAAATTCATTTGAATAGGTTAGATAACGATATTTTTTGCGAATACCAGAAGAAAATATTTAAAAAAATCGGACATTCACAGTTGCGAAATGTCGAAGTCGATTTTGTTTTTTATTTCATAAAATGAACATGATTTATATAGCGAAAAATTTTTTTATTATTTTTTCTCAAATATTTTTGAACATGAATAATTTCTATAGATTCAACGGCATTTTGGTACATGCAAAAACATTACTATTTGTGCATATATATGTATATATATTTTTTTTTGTATTGAGAATTCTTACAGCTTAATTCATTTCAAACATTTTCTTAACTTTCAAATTCCGTTTTGAACGTACTCGTATCGATATTTTTGAATTTTTTAAATTGTTACTAAAATTCAAATTGATGTAGTGTTGGCTTTTAAATTCTATTATTTAGTGTGTAATCCACCGACCTTTGTACAAAGCTGAATTTTTAGAGAAAATGAGCTAGAGCCTTTATATATTAAGGTAACGATATATACATACATATGTATTGTATACAGAAAGTATTTATTCAAAACGGTTTCCTAAAGAAAGAATCTCATGATACGGGTACAATAAAAAAAATTTAACTTTTCGATGATATCAGATACGCGAAGCTAAAATTATTTATCTCAAAATCTGAATGCTTACCCTTTCGCTATGCTTGGAGTGTGCGCTCGCACGTTTGCGTTCAAATTCATCATCCGAATCCGAATCACTATCACTGCAAAAGAAAAAAAACCGAATTTAATTGAATACATAAATTAAGAGATTCAAAAATTTTAAATCTTTTACAAATAAATCTAAATCGATGTGCTTACTCTTTTTTCACTCACCTTTCGTCGTCACGCTTTGATGATGCTTGGGTGTACACCTGTTTCTTTGTGCTACTCTGGCGCTTAGCCAGAGACGGCTTGGCTTGTCTTGGTTGCAGCAAACAATAGCTGCCATTACAAACTGGTGTAATATTGCCTCCATGCAAGGCAATCGGTGCATGGGCAGGTGGTGCAGTGCAAGCCGAACGATGTGGAACTAAAGCAGTGGTCGAATGCTGGAATGAAAAAAGGAAATGAATAATAGAATAGTATAAGATAAAAAAAAACATTAAATTACTTATAAGAGAAAAAATAATTGTTTAAGAAGGCAGCTCTATTAAAATAAAGACAATATTTTAACAGCTGCACGTTTTGAATAAAATTTCAATTCATGTAAAACGCGAGTAAAAAGAAATAAAAACAGATTGGTCAATAAACATTTAGAAATCAATTGATCTCGTCATGCTATGATATAATCTGTTGAATTATAGATAAATCAGAGGAAAAGTACTGAATTCTGAATTTCAAATTCGATTGGAGTTGCCCAATTACATAAGTATGTACATACATACATACGGATTACGTATGTACATATGTAAATATTATGCACGGCCAAAGTATGTAAATGAGGAAATATTTGCTCTCGTAAAGGAGACTGATAGCCACCATGTCCACGTGGCATCTTCCCAAAAAAATAATAAAAGTGTGTTCAGAATGTGAAGCGCTCAATATTTATGAATGTATGTATGAATTGTAATTGCGCCAGCCAGGAAAGACAATAAAAGAAATAAAAGTTTATCCAAATCTTGATACTTTTTTTGAATTCTAGCAGTGGAATTCATACTCGTATGCATGTACTTTTGTATATGTAGCTTTAAATTGATGGCTTTATTTCTTTTCTAGCAGATAATTATCACGAAAAGAAGAAGAATGGGGAAAATTGAGAGAATTACGCTTACAGAGAGCGAAATAAAGAAATAGTAAAGAAATGCAAAACTAGCAGAAACTAGCAAGTAAACAGCTGATCGGTGTATTTGGCTATCTGTTAAGAAACGCAACTTATGTTTATGATTTGCAAAAAATTGTGTTACGAGTCTCTAAAGAGACTATGCCGGGATTAGTCTCAATCGGGCACAATTGTCGCCTCTAGCCTCATGCGGGTATTATTGGAGAGCAATAAGGCTCGACTGGAGATCAGTTTTCTTACATTTTTTCATTTGCTGACTTCATTTCATTTTAAATTTTTTTTTTTTTTTTTTTTTTCTTAATTTTTTTTTTTTTGCTATTTTCTTTTATTCAACTTTTTATAAATTTTTAATTTGATTTTATCTTTTTATTTTACTTTGTTCATTTGATTAATTTGTATTACTTTAATTTATGTCCATTTAATTCTTTATTTTTATTTATTTTTTTATTTCCTTTTATTGAGGTATTATTTTTTATTTTTCGATACTTTAAATTATGTTTTCATTTCTCTTTACCTTTTCAGTTCGTATTTTTTATTTCATTTTATATTATTCTCGTTAAGTTTTTCATTTTTCTTTATTTTATTTTACGTTTTTTATTTTTTATTTGTCTTATTTCAATGACTTTTTTAATTCTAATTGTATTTTTTGCTTTAATTACTCAACTTTAATTTGGCTGTTTGTTTTTTTTTTTTTAAATTAAGAATGCTGTAAATATCTTTTATATAATTTAATTTTATTAAAGTTTTAATATATTATTTCAGTTTATTAAATTTTTTAATTGGCGGATTTACTGTATTTTATTATTACTGGAATTTTTTAATTTCATGTAATTATATTACGTTTTTATATCATTTTATTTTATCTACAATGGTGTTTTAGTTTTCTTTGTTTTATAATTTTTATTTTATTTCATTTTATTTTACTTTTATTTTATTTTATTTTTTTTTGTTTCTTTGTTTTTCTTATGTTTCTTTTTTTCATTTAAGCCCTAATTTAAATTATTTCGTTTTATTAATTGATTTACTCTTCTTTTGATTCACTCTTTTATACAACATTTTATTCAGTTTTTCAAATTGTAATTTTAATTTGTAATTTATTTATATTTCGTGCAAAATTTTGTTTAATTTGAGTTCATTTTTTATATATATCTAATTTCATAACTTTACAATTTTTATTCTTCTTCATTCTATAATTTAATTGAACTTTTCATGTTCATATGTATGCAAGTACATATTTTATTTTATTTCGTTTGATTGTATGTATTTTATACTTTGATTTATTTTATCAAACTTATTTTATTTATTCCGGTGAATTTATTATTATTTCATTATCCAATTTATTTCAGTTTCATTTAATTCACTTTTTATATTTTACTTTAGTTTTATTTCTTACTTTTATTAAAGCTTATTTTATTTTAATATTTAGTTTTTTATGTATTTTTTATGTTTAGTTAATTTTTATTTAGTTTTACTTTGATTTTTTCCTTTTATTTTATAAAATTTTTATTTTATGTTTTGTTATTTAAAATTTTATTTAGTTTAATATTCTTATTTTTCTAAATTTATGTCGTGCAGGCATTTAAATTTTTTTCATACTAAGTTTCCCATCTTGTCTTTTCCCCACATTTGCATATTCCATTTTTATTCGTACGCTTTGTTGATCGGCAATAAATTTGTTTGTTTACAATGAAAATGCGGCCGATGTCGAAAGTTTGCGCGTGTTTTGTCATAACACCATACATACATATGCATGTATGTATGTATTCCTGCATTTAGGCTACGCGCGTTGCTTATACAATTTTTTATGTATTTGCATATCTACAATTTTCTTGTGTTTTCCAGTTACATACAAAATGAAAGAGTTCAACCGAGTAGCGAACTTGTTTTTAAAATGCTGGTAGGCGACTACATAGATTTGTAGGTGCATATGTACATGCATGCAAACATACATTTATTATACAAAGATATACATATATGTATACGCAATTATTTTGTGGTAACTATTTCTTATTATAATTTCACACATTCAGGCACGCATGTGTATATTTATATATACAAACGTAGGTTTATTGGTAGTAGCTACATATACAACACTTATACTTTTTTCCTCGAAATTTTAAGCGATTGCAACCTAAAAAGATTAGCAGTTACTGTTGTTTACCACAAAGTTTATTGACTTGTCGAATGTAGAAATTTGTTTACTTCAATTGCAGGTATCCACAACATTTACAATTTAACATTCGCCGTGTCATTAATTTTATTGAAGTCTTCTAATTAATCAAATAGTTATTTTTTTAACAATGTTTACTTATTTACTGGTTTCTGCGGTGTTTTGTTAGTTTGTTTTTCTAAATCGACCTAATTGGACCTAACTGCGAGCACTGATAAGCTAATTAATCGAATTTGGCCCAGTTAATTTTAAATTTTTGATAAGAAATGTGGGTAGCAGCAGGTGAAGCAGATATCTTTTGTTTTATTACCGCCCTTTAAAGCCACCGATCAGAAACTTTAAGTGCCAAGAAATTATTAATTATAAAATAAAGCAGTTAAGATACCTTAATTAATATATTGTACAGTACCAATGAGAAGTTATTTGGTGTGTTTTGTATTTTGTAGTATGAAAATTAAAGTGTCATTTAGTTGGTATTTGATACTCAGTATCTGAAATGCAAAGAAATTATATGATAAAGGATCCTTATTGGCAGGCAGAGGCAATCCTCTTAGGACCGTTTCCCCCAAGTAGCACTTAAATTTTGTCTGCCCTCCAAAAACATTTGAGCGCGAAATTTGTATTAAAGCACATGCAAATTCTAAAAGCTCCATGAGAATTTTAATGTATTTTCTGTCTTGAAAAAAGCTTCTCATAAAGAGCTAATTTCCACTCTCAGAAAAAAGCATTTCCTTAAAACATGAAACCAGTTTCCTTATATAAGATTTACTGTTTTTTCTTTAATATTACGAAAAATTTACTCAATTTGAGAATTTTTTCCTTGCTCAAAATTTGAGGAAGTAAATTTACTCAATACATATAAGTAATAATTTCCTTAAATTTTTTTTTTGAATTTCGTCAGTGCTGTTAAGACAATGTTAATTGCTTTCCTGGCAAATGCCGGCTGTAGCATCGCGGGAAGACTACTGCTTCTGGTTCTAGGATCGCAGGTTCGAGTACGGTTGGAGATGGCGGATAGTGTCGACGACTGTTTGAGCGTCGCAAGCAAAATGTCATACTTATTCCTTTCGCGGGGGATTAAATAATTATTCTTAAGAAGAAAGAAAATAGTACTAAAACTAAGGAATTGTGTTTTCCTTAAACTGTGTGTCGTTTACTCATATTAAGGCAGCCATGTCTTCGGAGCCATTTCAAGGCAATATTTCCTTAGAATAAGATACTACATCTTAGCATCAAGGAATGCTTTTTTCTGAGTGCATTCGGAGGTGGCATGAAACTAAAGATCCCTCCATTTGTCGACCAATTGGATTTTTAAGACACATACATATACACATATTTATGTGCATATGTACATATGTATATGTGTACATAGCTAAAGAGTGCGCCATAAACATTGACTTAAGCGCTTCAAGTCGCCTAACAGACGAAACCACTTAAGTAGTACTCTCATCATTGAGTTTTGTAAACCAATGTGACGCAGATGTGTAACAGATGGCAAGTGTAGCTGAAAATACCAAAGAAAAAACGTTTGGTCGATTAAAAATCTTGAAAATACATTTGTTGTTTACAACTATGAACTGAAGTGGAAATAAATCTTTTGAGCGAGGGTATTGTCATTACCGAACCTAGGGTCGCACAAATGAAGAGATAAATACATACAGTCACACAAATCTATTTGAATATTTTTAAATGTACATACATATGTATGTAGTTACCATTCTAATGTATACATGTGAATGTAGTTAGTTAAAAGAAAATCAAACATTTTTGCATGTTGCGCATTTAGTGTTTACAATTGCTTTTTCAGATTTCTTTTAACTTCATATTTGTTTACAAAAAACACAGAATAGTTAGTTGTTATTTTTTGGGTTGATTATTAATTCTGTGGCCTTCACAATGGTTCTGCAAATTTGGTTTGCCAATGATCAATGCTTTTTACTTATAATAAATAAATTTTTAGCTATGGCAAGCGCTAACTATTTACGGATTGTATATTTATTTTCTTTTAATATACAATTTGGCTTTTGATGATTTCTGGAAGAAACAAAACAATTTATAGTCTAATTATTTACATAAGATGATCAATTGCGAAAAAAGCT